GTGGTAGACTTCTATCTACATTTAACCTCGATTAAGAATCAAAATGCAGATACGTTGTCACCCCTCAGGACTATGATGGAATGCCTTGATTTCGGTAAAACGGGTCACCGGTTCTATACACTCACCATACAAAACACAGCAGCATCAAGCTGCTATTTTACGGTGGTATTCTGTGAGATCGTACTTATCAATGTTTACGTTTTATAAATAGGTAAGAGGGTGATACCTAGGAGTTCTTAGTATTGTTAAAACTTTCATAATGTTACACAAACAACATTAACTTTGGCGGCTCAGTAGAATAGTGGCTGAACGTTTAGCTGCTGTGTTACAAGCCGTGGGTCGGAATCCCGATTGGTATAACAATAATAAATTGGTAAGATGGTGGTAACTACCAAGGACCTCTTAGTATTTATTAAAACTCTCATAATTTTACACAAAAGACACGACGTTTGTCCATATACAATTTTTGTAGCCTAATATGGCTATAAGTTCTGGTAAATAAATGTCTTTTTTAAATCTTTATTTGCAAGAATTAGTGTATTGGTATAAGTTACAATTTATTTAGTGTAGTCGTGTTTCGCTAACACAACGAATTGTGTACTCTATTGCAGGATAATTCCTAGTACATAGCATGCAAACATTAAATAAAATAGTGTAATAATAATAAAACTTATGTGGATATTTTTATCGAATTCCAAGCGATTTATTAAAAACAATATCAGAAGTGCCCGCCTTTGGCTTTAATACAGGCATTTTATCTCTCTGTAAAAGAATCTATGGAGTCGGATGCACTGTATGTATGGGGATTTTAGGCACTGCTAACTCTGTTGTTCTGTCTGGTTGGACACCATTATGTTGACCACTTTAAAATTTTCAACAAGTTGCAAAGCTTCATGAGCTTACACTTTGTCTTTTGCTTATTGTAGTATTTTCGATCTTTTTTTTTCGTCTTGCCCTAAATTTCAATCGGACTATTATAAATACCTATAGGAATTGGTCAGACAAGAATTGTGTACTCTATTGCAGGATAATTCCTAGTAGAGTTAAAGGCAATAATGCTTGATATAGTAAGAACTTTTAATAAACTGTCCCCATTCCAATCATATTCCAAACGCGGAGGAAAATTCGGGAGGCCTGTATTCAACAGGCGAAGTTTTTTCAAACTATTTTTAATTTTACAACCGTTTATTTCAACAACCATTTTATTTATGTACAACAATTTTATACCTTTGTGAAGAGGAAATAACTACTTTATTATTATTAGTTCTTTTGAAATTGAAAAGGAAGCTCCTACGCTGCTACTGCATTACTTGCAATAACTTATAAGTAAGCATAAAAGTTCTTAACGATATTTTAACGGTTTTTATATTATATTTTAAGGAGCAAGAACGTAAATATGTACATACCTTTAAATTAAATGCTTATTATACTTCGGTGTTAAAGAAATTACCGACGCACCGACGCTGTAATTTATCTCGAAAAGTTATTTCGCGATGTTCCATCTGACGACTCGAGGGACCAATATGATTCGGGCTGGAGGAGCAGCGAGAAATAATTTGATATCTTCGCGTTGTTTGGGGTATAATGTTTGCGTAATTCTCGTATAAAAGAATGAAATTTTATTTTATGCGTGCAATTTTCGACGTCGTGGGTAAATTCACACAACGCGAGTGCTTAATAGTACAGTTTAACGTTTTTATAGATATTATTTTTGACAAGCGTATATTACATCGTGAGTTTTGCTCCAAAATGATTTTTCTTATTCATACACAATTTCTTTGTTTCTAACAGCTTTGAGCTTTATCCCTGAGTTAGTTGGCATGAATGCTTTTATGATTGTGCTCTTACTTACCCCAGCCATGTTTGGAAATAAGTATGATATACATTGTTTAGAAAATAAATATGTAAGCGAACGTAGAGTTTGAAAGAAGGTAGCTTGGAAACATAGTGTGGCAAGTAACAGGAAAATCCTCAGTCTGTAATATGGAAATAAGTGGCTTTTAATAATCTCGGCGGAGAACAAATACGTCAGGACGGCACTATGGACTCTTCCCCGCTCCAAGAAGTATGAGAATGCCTACAATGATATACTTTTTTATATATGAATTTTATTAAATGCCTATACCCAGCCGTAGACTATATTATATTGGCAGTATATTATAATATATAACCCGTTTCTTCGGTTCCATAATAGGGTAAAACGTGCGTGATACATCATGGAAACTATGCCAAATATGAGGCAACCAATGGGGAGGCCTATATTAAGTTCAGAGGATTATTTGCTTGCTATTAAGATATAAACAACCATTTTGAAAATATGTGTTTGCCTGTTTGTTTGGGCATATCTACGGAACGGCTGAATCAGTTGTGATGAAAGTTCACGAACAGATAGAAAACATTGTAAAGAGCTATATTTTCTAGGCTATATTTTACCCGAAAAACTTGAAGTATTTTTTTTTTGCAAAAACGAAACATTGATAAAATAAATGGTCTTTCATTATATTAAATCTAAATAATGCCGTATTAATAGATGAATTTTATTAAATGCCTATACCCAGCCGTAGACTATATTATATTGGCAGTATATTATAATATATAACCCGTTTCTTCGGTTCCATAATAGGGTAAAACGTGCGTGATACATCATGGAAACTATGCCAAATATGAGGCAACCAATGGGGAGGCATATATTAAGCTCAGAGGATTATTTGCTTGCTATTAAGATATAAACAACCATTTTGAAAATATGTGTTTGCCTGTTTGTTTGGGCATATCTACGGAATGGCTGAATCGGTTGTGATGAAAGTTCACGAACAGATAGAAAACATTGTAAAGAGGCATCTAGGCTATATTTTATCCGAAAAACTTGAAGTATTTTTTTGCAAAAACGAAACATTGATAAAATAAATGGTCTTTGATTATATTAAATCTAAATAATGCCGTATTAACAGATCCTATCCAGGCGAAACCGGGGCGGGTCGCTTGTTAACAATAATAATGTTCTAATCTGAGTAGAAAAACCCTTATTGCATTTAAGGAATTAATTAAGTGTACAATATTTAAACGTGTAGTGGTGGTGAAAGAATATCCACTACCACATATCGTCCTGTAGTTGTCGTAAGAAGCGACAGAGGGAAAGTAAAACAGGAGATGATAACAACTCAAAATTACCGGCCAACTCACGCTTGCCGAGGGTGGCAACTATAGCAAAATCTCCCCTAGGACGATATCTTTGAAGGAGGCCTATGTTTAGCAGTGGACTTTTGTAATGATTGGAATGGATGATACAATATTTAATTTTATGTTACACAAATACACGAAATGAACTAAGTTAATTATAATACTACACTAGTAGCTTCTAATGCTACTTCCTTGTTACTAAAAGCTATAACTTTAAGTTAAGTACCTACATTGTCTGTCTAATGATACAAAGAACTTTGTATCATTTAATATTGACAACTAAATAGATATAAAATACAGAATTTCGGGATGGTATTTCGTGTAATTCAATGGAGGAAGCCTATGTTCAGGGTGAGATGATGACGATATTATGAAACGCTCTCAAAGAACACCAACGTAAAATAGCAGCTTAATGCTGCTGTGTTTCGATGAGTATAGAGAATCGGAGGCTCTTTTTACTGGAATCGAGGCTTTCCATTTAAGTCCTCAGGGGTGACAACACATCTGCATTTTGTTTCTTAATCGAGATGAAATGAAGATGTCCATGGTCCACAGCATCAATTTAACATCAGGTGGACTGTTTACTCACTTTTATATATCAAAACTAGATCCATGTTGCTCAATGCTGAATTTCTAGCATGTGATGTGCTCAATTAGGAAAACTAGAAAAATATCGGAATGTAAAAAATGTACAATAATTCTAGATGCAAGCTAAATTATATACATATGGATGTTATTGATAAGATTAAAATTAGGGTCGAATGTATTCCTCCTCCTTCCACTGTTGCCTCTTACGATACTCATGGGACGATAGGGCTTTAGTAAATATTCTTACAGCGCCATTACGCCACAATACACACATTAGCGCCACAACGGTAAAAAAATATCGATAAATACTACGGTTGCCAATTGACTACTAAGCGAAACAATAAGGATAAATTTACCTTTGGAACTAATACAATGTTTACAATGAATTCTCAGGAGAAATTGATGTTTTTAACTATAATAAGGACGCTTTTAGGCGCTTAGATAATGAAAGTCTTAAATATAAAACCCAAATGAAATAACATAATTTATAGTAAAGTAAAATAATAATAATATACTGGTAATCTAGTGTATAAAAAATAACATGTGTGCATTCGTATGTATTTCTTTGTTAAAAAATAACATGTATGTATTCGTGTGTATTTGTTCATGTACATATGTTCATGAGTTTGTGTATGAGACTTTTCGAATGTGCGTGCTCTCTGAGTGAACAGTTGCACAAATTAATGATTTAAGTGTAAATATGAGTTTATATCTACTGATACTAATTATAACGACCGTAGTATGCTATGCCATAGTAATTAATGGAAACCTGTTATTGGCCTTATTATAAGAATACTATTGTTTAATGTAAACTGTATAGAACGTTGTTGGTTTCTTAATAAATTAAAAAAAATACATGTGGAGGCCAATGTTCAGCAATGGACTTTGATAGGATGGAATTAGTGTAAGATGAATGTTTTATAAAACTTTAGATTCTTGAGGATTCTTTCCTCCCCGAGGAGGGACATATATACACTGCAAAAAGACAAACACTCAAATCTGGAGGAAAAGATATTTGTATGACATACAAATACCTGTCCCGTTCTGCAAATCAATGCAAAGCAACTACCACGTAGTCGTCTATGTAGTTATAATCGTATATCACATACCTTATATATATATATATATATATATATATATATATATATATATATATATATAATATACATATAATGGAAAATTACCAATGGTTAGTGTAACACTAATACGGTAAAAATTAAAAAAAAACTCACCTAGTGCAAATCCATCCTTTGCCCATTGCACCTGACCCGCTAAATTAGCAACAGCGCATTCGAGCACCGCTTCAGCTCCTTCTTGTACTCGAAGACTTCGAGGTACTACTCTAAAGTACTGTTGCTGGAAGGCGCACGCACTTGCTAATACTGAAACAAAACAATAATAATATTTAAGAGTAGGTAAGATAAAATTATTAACTATTATAATAATTTCTGAAATGCAGTAATTTAATAGAAAACCTTTCTAACTCTTTATTCATTGCACATCACTCATTTAAAATTATCAACAGTGGACATATCAGCACTTGGTGGAAGAATAAGACAGGAGCATGGTATTTATATAAATTGAAGAAGTGAAAATAATGAAAGTCCCTATTAAAACGGGGGTCCATAAGTAGGGTTCTAAGCCCTTCATTTGAGAAAAGCTTTTAAATTCAAATTGCAACATCCCTCAATTTTCACATACACATTACAGTTTAAGAATAAGTCGAAGTTTGTAAATCTAATTGAACCTTACGGTCTGTTAACGTGTAACGGTACGTGGTAGAGCCACGCTGCAGCTATAATATGTTTGTAGCACGAATGGGTTGGCTCGACCGGGGAAGGATCACGATCTCACAGAATAAGAGAGTAAAATAGCAGCTTAATGCTGCTGTATTTCGTATGATGAGTGTAGAGAACCGGAGATCCCTTTTACTGGAAACTAGGCTTTCCATCTTAGTCCTCAGTGACGACAACGCATCTGCATTTTGATTGTTAATTGAGAATAAATATAGACTTCTATGGGTCACAACATCCACTTACCTTCACGTAGATAGTGTGCTCGGTTTTGGGTTGAGAATTGTCAAAATCCACTTACAATAATATTTCCCGTTCACTCGGCTACGGGTCTGATCAGATCATACAATACCTACCTTATGTCGGCTCTAGTACGGGTCGGATTAGATCAGAAGTACTGCCCTATGAACTATTTTTTTAAACTATTTTTTCGTTTTAAACAAAACCAAAGACAATATGCAATAGATAATAGTATCAAAGACAAAGATATGCTCTTTTATTTTAAACCATAACCTGGCAATGTTTCTTAGAAAAAAAAATCACTCTGAACTTTCGGCGTTCCACGTGTCGCTTTGACGAAGGTGCTCCGTCTTTTTTATAGAATTTTGTATTTGTATCTGGACTAAAAACGAAAGTATTATACTTTTTTATATTCCTTGTAATATAGTAAACGCGTAGATATATAATTTGTGGTATAAAAAGTGAAAAGTAAATTGCCAAAAGTACTTCAAAATCCGGAAGGCCCATTTTGGCGGTTGGGTCATAAATGTGTTATTTTTCAAATTGTCATTTATTTTTAGTGTAAAATGTAAGTAAAAATAGTTTTCTTACATATTTCAAATAACTTGACGTTATATTTATTTCAAAATCACACAAAACTATTTTTGAAATATTGTTCGAAATGTCACACAGATAAAATATTATTATTATTTTTTTATATTTTAATATTTTGGTATGAGTAACGAATAGAAACACATAAAACATAAAAATATACATATTTCCAAAAATTTTCATATAAATTTCTCCAAAAACAAAAGTGTAGAATTCAAATTAGTAGTAATTTTGTCACTAAAATTGAAGTATATACTACTACTATGCTATACAGGGTAATTTATGTATTTTATTACAATTTCTAGCAACCAAAAATAATTTTATTCGATAGTTTATACATTCAACAAGAATTCCTGTAAGTTTTATCCATAAATATTGTCTCAAATTGAAAATATAGCAAAATTTGCAATATAGCAAAAAAAATTTCTAACTTACAAATTTTCCCGCCATTAGTGTCCCGAGCGAACGGGAGTATAACATGTCGCGCGCTGTCAGAGCTTACGGGTATAAAAATGTTCATAAACAAGAGTACCAATACTTAACGATAGATCGTAGGTTAAAATTTAAACTTACTCATATATTAACAAAAATCTACAAATCTGTATAATTTGTGTCGAAAATAAGACGAATATTCGGATGAACGGTTTAATTGTCTTATATCAAACTTTTAAAATGAATGTAAACATTTTCTTAATTACAATGACAGTAATATCAATTGGCTATTGGCATAGTAAAAACAAAATGTATTACGATGCTCGTGAGTAAGGAAAATTACAAGAACAATTTTATATGTTACTACGTATACTTTCGCAAAACACGAGACAAAGGATCCTTCTGGTTCATTGGAGGCTAATATGATAGCGTAGGCAAGTGGGTGACAAGTGGCGATACTTATAAGGCGGCGCGACATACTCTCCAAAGGTGAACGCTCCAGGGTATGGCTTGGTACAAGATCGCGATCGAATGGCTAAGAAAAGAAATCTTGGAGGATTTTTACTTCTAAGTATATATCTTATTTTCCTTTGAGATTTCATTTAGGTGAAAGTTTTTAAAATCCAAGAATTCTTTTCCACAAAATATACCATGTTCTGGCAGGTGATTTATCTTATCAACGAAATTTGTATATTTAGTATTTAGAGAGAGATAGAGAGATTTAGTAGTAGTAATATTTAGATATTATTATTTTTCATAATGTTGTTTTAAGGTATTTAAATATTACGTACGTATAATTGCCGCCACGAGTCGTGAGCAAACTTTTTATTGGTCGATATGACGTTGACCATACTGACGCTCAAAGTGATTGGTTCGTCAGCCGATTCTCGTCGTTCGCACGTATCATTCGATTACCGTACACTTGAGAGCAATTTTAGTGACCATATTAGTTTATCTTTATATATATATATATATATATATATATATATATATATATATATATATATATATATATATATATATACATATATTAGTTTATCGTTGTTAATTGTTGTTTGTGTATTTCTTGTTTTTAACTGTTTTTGATTTTGATATCTCTTGTTGTTAATTTTTTTTTGTTATAATTTGAGCATTTGGATTTTGGGTTAAATACGCAGATAAGAAAAAATTCGGTGTTAAATAGACAATCCCGATAAATGGATAGACCATTTGTCGGGATCAGTGTTTTGTTACATGAAATAATTAGGTATTGCGAAAAACATGATATACGTTTATAAACAGACTGTTAAGGCGACTAATGTCTACGTAGCTACTGTAGTGTACGTATAGTTAAAGGAGTTAACGACTCAGTGTTTCGAGCAAAAACATTCAATTATGAATTGAAATAACAACAGTACCTAATCATTTTGGCCGACAGTGTACCTACGCTGGCTCAACCCCCACCATAGTTCATCTGTGCTCAACTTTCGTGCCGGCAACTATACCTGCGTAATCAATATTTTAGTTCTTTTTATAATTGACAAAAGAACTTACGTAAAATATAATAGTTCTATAATTTTTATCGATTTGTAACAGATTATTACATATATGAACTTTAATTTCATTCTTCTTTTTCAATACCAATATATTGTTCACATTTTGACAACTGTGAGAAAGATTATCTATCATGATTAATTTTCAATAAACGATAAACGAAACTCTTATAGATTCAAGGCAAAATTTGGATCTTTTCATCTTTCTATCTAATATTAAAGTAAAGAAAAAGGGGAAAATCCGCCTGAATTAGAACTATACTACTATGGATATGAAACACTTATACTTACTACTCTTACTCTTACTCTCTACGTAATACATACTACTCACATACAGACTGAGCTTAATAGGATTTTAGGAAAATAGAAGAAAATTGCTTCGAATGTAAAAAAAGAATGATAAATGATGAAACTGTTACTAAATGAAAATGATAGTACCCTTATAAGGTGCTTGTCGCAAAATGAAATTTTTATTCAGAACAAATTCATCATAAGAAACTTTCTTTTGATGAAGTTGCGAACAACATTACGAATAATAAAATCAAATAAAGAAAGAAAAGTTAGTGTATACTTAATAAAAAGCCAGTATCATACAACGAAATCATTATTTTTTTTATTTATTTTTTTTTTTTTTTTTGGTGGAACGGATTAAAAACTGGCATGTACTCCATCGACAAGTGCACAGCTCTTTAATTTAAAACCGAAGAATAAATTACCGAAAAAATAAGTGTAGAGTCGATTTTACATAAAGTTTAAGAGGCGGTAGGGGAAAACTGAAACAGATGAGCAGGGCAGCCGAATTTTTCTAGTAAAAGCTCAATATAAGACTGTAGTTGCCAGCGAGGCGTTACTCCTATGACAAATAACCCTCCCATGACGTATCCTATGGGGGAGGCTTAAATTCAGTAGTAGAATACTAATAGATTGTAGTGAAATAATGAATTAATTAATGAGATTTTTTAATGCACAATAAAATATTAAGCCTCCAAAAAATATTTATTAATACGCTACACGCTTATAATACGTGTCACAACTTAAGGCGTAGTTTACACTAGTAATCTTAAGCAGACACCACACATGTGACAAGCGCGCTTAAATTAACCAGCGCTTGTTTGTTATTCCAATTGTCACCACCGCACTGTGTACTATGTCTATGTTTCGTCTGCAGATTTCCGTGCGTGCTCCTCCGGTTTGACGTACTTTTATGTGACATTTCCGGCTAACTCTGGATGTACGTGTATGTATGTATACTTCGAATTACATTCGTGCTTTTCAAATAAGTGAAAAGGTGTATTCTTGCTGTTAAATAATTTTTGTGAGAAGGAAACGCTTTATATGGCAACTTACAAGGTGATAAACGAGCACCAGTACACCTGATGGTAGGTAGATGCTGCATTTCATAGTTACCTTCATTTTTTATTTATGAAGAAACTGTGCTATCCCTGATGAGAAAGATGTAATGCCTTGTAACCAGTAAAAAGGTTCTCGGATAAACACATTTTTGCTCGGAAAGTCGACTTGAATACCAAACATAGAATACTATAATACATACTTAATAGAACGGGGGAGTGGGCGGAGCCCGCATAGCCACTAAAATGCCACTAACACGTCAATTCACACGTATAAATGACAACACGAGATGTGTTTTGACGATACAATCGTTTCCAAATTTCGTATGCAAATTATTTAGAAAACGCCAAATTGCACGCTATTTACAAATAAATATGTATTAAAATCCGTCTGTCAACACAGCGAATTGGGTTTGTTGTAGAGATAAACTGATAATACGACGTA